TTATATAATTAGGCCGGAGTGCGTATGTGGGGGTGGCTTCTTATTTGCAACGAAGTCCACCAGCCTTTGCAAACGCTTCCAATAATCTGACTAACCCAGAGAGATTTGTGGCGCTTGTTTCACACAATTTGCATGGGACTAAGACTCTGCAGGGGCACAATTCATACAAGCATGTCAAAGAACAGAGGAGTACAGGCACCCGGGTCGGAGGACCTTGCCAGCACTTGCCTCACTGTTCTTGAAGACTCTCTACCCAGGGCTTCTGCTGCACCCACCTTGCAAATGGCTGCCTGCATAATAGCATCAAAGCCTCCTTCTGCATCATCCAGGTTGGCCGAGATGCGCTGCTGACCAACCCTGCTTTCAAACTCTGTGGCGTTGTCAGTGAGAGCTAGCACGTGCCTATAGCTGAACGCCGACTGGCAGTTCTCCTTCGGGTTTCGGCAGGGATTTTTCCGTTTGGAGGGAACCATGTTCACGTAAGGCAGCACGGTCTTGTCCACAAAGGCACCAAACCCTGCAATGAAAAGATCCGCTGTCTTCTTCAGCCTGTGTACACACTGCAAAGCTGCTCATGAGTTCCCAATGTTTTCTCTTCTGCACACAGTCCTAAAGTCAGGGCGGGGGGCAACCTGAGTCATCAGGACCACAGGCTGCCCTTCAACCCCTGCTCTGGGGCCTTTATAGCTTCCTACAAGTGCAGTTACCAAGGATGGGTGTGGGGGATTGAGAGAGAGAGCAACAAGCAACCCTAACAGTTCCAATGCATTTGCCATGGTCAGGTCAGTTTACAAGAGTTACAAAGAAAACAGTCTCGTCCAAGAGATAAAACAATATAAAAGCCAAACATATGAACCTATAAGCCAACTTTGTAGGGAAGTGATAGTCAGCAAGGACACAAAGCCTTTTCCTCTAGCAACTATATCAAAGAATTCAGATGCTAGGCAAGACATTCTCACTTCATTAAAAAAAAAATATTAAAAGAAATGTGTCCAAAGTCAAAATAATTCTAGTTTAAGAGTATTGTTGGAATACTTTTCATATCTTTTCTTTTAAGGCTTGCACTAACCTATGATGCTTTTTCTATACCTTCTGTGTTTCCCCATTCAGAGTTTTGACTACATACCGATCTTCACTGAGGTAGCAACTTTGCGCAGGGCAGCCATCAAGTCACTTCCCAGTTGCTTGATCTTCTCCAGGTCATCCTTCATGGAGTAGGACAAGTCCATAAGGTAGTAAAGGTCCACGGGATAACCCTCAGCCCGTTTGAAGCGGACAGTGAAACTATGTTCCTTTCCTACAGGCACAGAATCAGAAGGGAGGGAGGAAGATGCATCTGGTCTGGCCTAGGATGGGATGGGGGGAACCTTGCTATTGGCAAACTATTCAACCAAGTGCTCTTCTCACAGCCTGCATAATGACCTTGGAGATTCTTTCCAATTAAAGTACCTACCAGGCCGAAGCTGAAGAACAATTCTTTGAGGTGACAGTTGAGTAATGTTCTCGTGGTATGTGTTATCTCTCAGAGGCCTGTCCTCCAAAATGTGCTGCTTGCCCTGGGGATCCACAATCTCACTGGGAAGGCAGCCACGATGCTCCAGCTCTAGCCGAGGGGCACAGCGCTCTGCGTCAGACTCTCCCGCTTGCACAAAATCCTGGGAAGAACGAGGAGGCAGTCATTTCCAGCACTGCCTCATTCACACACACCATGCAGAACCGCCTTAGCAGAATAGCAGTGGGATGTTGCTCTTCCTTCTAAACATCCAATGTTTTCAAACCAGGGGAATAGAAACTTGATGCAATGGTTTTTAGAGACATTTCCAAATAGTAAGTCAATAAGTTTATTGTTGTTACCGTAGGTCATAAACAGGGCTGGGAGGGCTTAAAATTCAGCATCTTGAGAACGCCAACTTAAGAAAAATCTGCTGCTTTAAATGGCCTCAAAATGCACTCCCAATTAACAATATTGCAACGAGAAGTATTTTTAACAGCAAGCACCATCTTGGAAGAGGCGTATGGGAAAGAAGGTGGCATGTCTTCTTTAAGAACAAACCCTACTGTGAGAAACATATAGATCCCAAACTGAAAAAGTCTGCTTTTTCACACGCAGAAGACAAAACCTTTATGACTTCCCAAGTAAGAGTTCTTTAACTGACCGATAAGCCTAGCTTTAGAAGGTTTGCAGAGATGTCTTGGAAAAAAGAGGAAGCTTGTGAATTTCAGCGTTTACAGAAAGACAAAGTGAAAGGAAGGAACTGCTGACCGTGGCCATCATTCTGTTCTATCCCCCAAGTCTGGCCATCAGGAAGCAGCTGATGAATGGATGACAAACGAATGTATCACTCTGCTTAATGTGCAGCATTCATTCTGGTAGAGAATCATACATTCCCCAATCAGATCTGATTTCTTTAAAAGTACATACATAAATAAACCCGGCACGGGCAGGGCAACCACCTCCTAAGAGCAAAAGGTGGCAATCTGTGCCCCCGCCAGCACTTTGAAGCTTAGAAGACGGCATCTGCAGATGGAGAAAATCCTTCCTATCTCTCACTGCTCTTCTCCCCTTCCCCCCTCTCCCCACTGCCAGCCCGATAAGCAAAGGAGGCCACTTCCTTTCAGCTTTATTGCAGTGGTCTCCGGTTTCTCTAGGTGAAAAAGAAAGAGAAAAACCCACCAATCCAACCTCAAGTCTGCTTGCCTTTTAAACTCTGCAAGAGCCAGATAAGTTAACGTTCCTCACCCATCCTTTCAAAGAGGTTGACACCAGCTTGTCCATGAAACAGAAACAACAACGCACAGTTCAGCTTATCAGGGCAAGAGTCAGGGGTCACCACTGTTGGGCACTTGCCAAGGCCCACGTCCCTGCAGGGGAACGGTACCAACTTTTAGACCTCCTGGGCATTTCTTCTTCCTGTTCTAATTACCTGCTGGATTCAAATCATAACAAGAACCACTTCCCCCCACTTGTGGTGTGCTTTTCTCTGGCCAGCAGTAGCAATGGCAAGGGGTGATGGTTCCATTTTGAAAGGGACTGGGAACTTCTTGTCCAAAGACTCTGCTAATTTATGCCTGCCTCTTCCATCACTCCTACTGAAAATATTATACTCATCCTTTTCTTGAATGCAAACGAATATTGTTAGGAGAGATTTTGGATGCTAGCTTTCTTCAGAGCTTCAGAAGCTAGAGGACATAGGTCTGGAAATGAGAGGTGATAGCTAGCATACTCTTTCTCCTAGAGGAAGAGAGAATCTTGAGTCCTTCCTTAAACGTAGAAAAGTGGAGGTTGCAGGCAGGTCTAAGAGCACTTGCTATTTTTTAGGAGGGAGCAGCCCAGGAGTGTGGAAGCCTGATGGACAGATCTGGAGAGGGAAAGGATTTTCAGGAAAGCACCTTGAAGATCTGAGCTGCTCAGCAGGAGAAGACACTCAATAGGTTATTCGTATATTGGGTGAGGTCAAATAGATTAAGAGGGGAGCAGCAAAATTCTCATCAAGCTTTTTTGATATTGGTATTTGCTTTAAATGGCATTAGCTTTCTGGGGGTTCTAAGAAAAACTAGAACCCCGAGATGTCTGTCAATCCTCACGCAGGCTGATCACGTTTTGTTTCAAGTCAGTTTGGTGGAGTCAATGACAAGAACTGCAGTTTTGTCTGCAAAGTTGTTTTCAATGAAAAATGTGCTTAAACGTGGAAAATGGAAAACCAAAGTGAGCAATCTTGTCTCTGGGGGCCAGATTTAGATGTCTGTGATAACTTGCAGTTGTTTTGTTTTCGTTTTTAACTTTCTCAAGGTTCACGCCTTCATTTCTTGGAAGAGTGTGAGAAAGCACTGAAGCTAAAGTGAGAGGGGCTAATTAGGGTTCCCCCTGGTCAAAAGACAGGGTTTCAGCATTAAGAGTAGCAGAAACAGAAGACTTTATGTAAATTAATGTATACAAGCTGCAGAATTTGTCTTGTCTTAGTAAGACATTATATATTTGAACACCCAGCCCAGTTTGGAGTTTTTATTCACAGCTAAGAATATAGCTGTCTCCATCAGTTCTGTCCTCCAAAGTAAAAGTATGCAAATCCTTCCATCATGGAATAATCTGATCCCAAATCAGTGGTTTCAAGACCAGAATAGACTGTAGAAGGAAACACCTGAAACAGCCTGCTTTGGAGTTGGGGCATTTGGTGGGTTTTGGCAGGTCCAGTTGAAAACAACTCAGTTCCTGCCCACATGGGCACCCAGGTATGCACACGTGTGCACACACACACACACATACACACAGAGATATACTCTGAAAGAATGTGATCTTGAATTCTGTTTCATTTTGCCTAAGGATATACATGGCCTAGGAGAGCTTTTGGGGAGATTTTGTCTCTCCTCGGTGACGTTACAACAAAAGAAATACCAGGATGTGGTGATTATTGCAATTGGCATTTCCCTTTCCCTTGAAGTGGCAGCTGATGTAGAGAAAGCAAGCGCACCAAGATAAACATATTTACTAAACATTTCCAGAAAGATGGCGGAACAGAAGGGAGGATATCGACGTGAGGCTCCATTGCAGTTCTTATCTCTTGAGACTGTAAAGTTGTTCAACTCACCACAACTTTAGTGAATACATTCCCCTTTTTTAAAAAGGTGGACAGTTCCATGCAATGCCCCAAAGTTTCAGGGCTGAGGGCAAACTATAAAAGCACAATTATTGCTTTGCCATCTGGCTAACTGAGGTGAGTTTTCCCCCTTCCAATTCAGGTCTGACAAAGCAATGCATCTGGAGCAGGGAAACCCTCATGTTTGCAATATCCTGACCTTTGGTGGCAAAGAACTGATTTTCAGAAACACACGTGTTAATTCAGCTAAGGGTTAAAGTGGGTGCACTGAGCCTCTGACCAGCTTAACCCCCTATTTTTCCCTTTTAAAAGCCCTCTAAGCCCCCAAATGCAAGAGAAAGGGGCCCCACATTTCAGCCCTGCCCCTCTGAGCAGAGCCCTTCATTACATTGATGCCCCTGGAAGTCCTCAGAGGGACCACCAACCACAAAAAGAAGGTCTGGCCCTCAGAGATACTGTCACGAAAGGTGGTATATAAACACCCAATACGCACAAGCAGTTGGGCAGGATGTGGTGAGGTCTTTCACTGTGACTGGGGTAGCACCTGGGAGACTTTCCAGCCATAGCAGTGACTATTTTACCCAAGGTTGGGGGGCTGCTTCTGGGGAATCAGGGCTGGAAATGATGGAGCCAATTTTTTAGGAGATCGTTTTTGCCCAATGCAAGTTTTCCCTCACTCTTGCCTGGAGAACCAGAGCTCAATAGAGATGTCAGCTGAGGGTTATTAGGAATTTTTGCCTCAAGGTTGGATGCCTGAAAGCGGCCACTATCTTTGTTCGCCATCTAGTGCTCAAGAAAAGGGGCTGGTAGGGAGAACTTAGCAATGGAGGAACCCTGTCATTAACTAGGAGGTTATAAAAAATGTTCTCAGAAGATTCTCTTCTAAAATGAAGACCTGGGCCTAGGGGAGCTTTGCGTCTTCAGGCAAATATGGAATTTGCCACTGCTCTGCAGTGAAAGTCCTCCATTTGCATTCAGAAGTATTTCTCTAATCTTAATTCAATATTTTTAAAGACGGGTGAAGAGGCAGTGGTACAAAACAGGAATGAGCAAAGGAAAGGGAAAGATCCTGCTTTGCAGAAAGGCCAGTCCTTCTGTCTTGCTGCCTAAATTCTTTATTTTTGGACAATGGGGCTTTGAGTAGGAATGTTGCCTTTTTTTTTCCCGGTTGTGGATCTCAGACAGCTGCAGGCCAAGCACACTGCATAGATGGAGAAAGCAATTGTGAATGAATTTGGGCTTGCCAGGCAGATGCAATCAGGTACGTAAGGCTAGCACCAAAGAGGTCTGCACTATAGCCGATGAAGTCAGCTGATATAACTTGATTCCCAGATTAAAAAAAAAAAAGTGGCAAAAAGAATTAAAATAAATAAAAATGCCATTTTGATTATGCCTTGCTGGCAAAAACCAGCCCAGCAGCCTGTCTGCTCTCAGCAGAAAACAAGCCATCAGGGCTGGCCTGCTTTCGTGCTGGCAAGCAAGGAACAAGACGTACTTTTGCAGCATCTGAGCATGTGCAGGGATATCACTACACAAGCCCCACCTTGCAGCAGCACATGATATAGGCACATGCGGGGGGGGGTCTCCCTCTAATTTGTCCTGTTTTGCTGCAGACACCAGTTTGGAAGCATGTTCACAATTGGAAGGTCCTTTCAGGGGGTCTAAATAGATTCCAGGGGACCCACCTCCTGCAGTATTCAGGGTGGAGGAGCTAGGGTGGATCAGGGGAGAGCAGATAATAAAGAGGAATCAGGATGGTTCCCACTGTGTGTCAAGGCTGCAAAAAATGTGCACATCCTGTGGCATCTTCCTGTTGTGCTTCCTTTGAAGAACATCTCCAGATGAGATTAGGAAAACCCAAATCGTAGGATGCTCTGATCTGAAGACAGCCAGCCAAAGAATCACAGCACTGTGGTAGCTCCAACTTCCCACGGTTGCTTGGGGTGGGCAGCTGCTGTTGTAAACTCTTGCTGACTCAAACTTCACTCATGTACTGAGAGTGAAAGGGCAAGGGGTGAATCAGAGGGCACCCTTGCCACTTGCTATCTGCCGGTGTTGCTGCCTTCAAGGAAATCTTGCACCTTGGCCAAAAAACGCAGCTGCCTGGCTTGGCTTAGCTGAGAATTCCTCAGCTCAGAAGCCCCAAGGTTCATCCCCAAGGTTCACCCTCCAACCCAGGGTAGCTGCTGAAGGGGCAAGTCAATGAGCTACAGGGAAGGAAGAGATACAAAGCAGAAAGGCAGCACCTTCAGGTAACGTAAGCGGCCTCCTGCTTCAGGTTGCTAGAAATGTATTCCTTTTTGGTCACCTCTCAGCTGGCTAGAGAAGAGAGCGCTGCCGAGCATACCCCGACTGCCATTTTTCCCTTGGCCACGAGGTATCAAACCCCCCTCTTTCAGCTTGGGATGCCAGTCTCAGACCCAAGGCCTTCCGAGTCCCTCTAAGGTGGGCTGGAAACGGGACAGGGAGGGGAATGAATGGCAAGAGAGGCTCACGAGGCTGAGGACTCACCAGCTGCTTGCACCAGGCACAACGGGGGTGGGACTGAATGCACTCATGGCAGGAAGGTCGAGGCTGGCAGGATCCTGCAAAGGAAACACGAACGACCACAATGAGGGCTGTCCCTCTCTCTAGCAGGCCCCTCACATCTTTCTTCCTCTTGTTCCTGTTCTCCCTTCCTCATTCTACTTTCCAAAAATCCATAAGGTTGCACAGACCCCACTTCCTTTTTGGGATCAACCTCCTGAAGAAGCCCTGAAGTCAGGGGGCGTGAGGTGGCATAGGGTAAAGCCATTCCCTCGGGAAACAGAGGGGGGTGCCCTCTATAGCATTTTCAATCTGGCCCTTTGCTTGTGGCCAACTGAACTAGCTAGGAATGGCCCTTCTAAGACTGCTGCCTGGCTGTCAGGGGAGCTTGCAACTACTTGAATTTCAAGGTTGTGTGTGTGTGTGTATTGCGTGTGTGTCTCTGTGTGTGTGTGTCTGTGTGTGTGTGTGTGTGTGTTCGATTAATTAATGAATTCTAGGATAAATCGTGCTAAGACAGTAAGTATAAATTTGTCAAAAAGTTTGTTTTTCTCATCCCAGGGTCTTAAAAAAAAGAGCAGCTTCCATCTTTGAGTATATTGGAAAGTAAACATATAAAAGCTTAAATGATAACTGGGGTATTTTGCATGAAAGCTTCTCATCTACAGCTGGCGGCAGGGTCTAGACTGTGAGGTTTGCAAGCAGAAATCTGCCTTTGAAAGGGGTTTTGCTGTCTAGCACCCAAATCACTCAACAAATGAGCGTGTGATGCATGTATTAGTGGCCCACTCATTAGAGGACTTTTCCACCAAAGTCTCCTTAGATTCTTTCCTAGATTCTCTAGATTTTCTCCTTTTCCAATTCTAAATTCTTCTTCCTCCAAATACAATCATAGCACAATACAATAATACAAAAATAATGCAAACGTTCCCGATAAATCTGGCAATTTCCCCAGTTTGTCAACATCCTTTCCTGATCATCTCCTCTTTCAACATGACTTTTCCATCTTGGAAATCTCTAAGTCACCTGAACAAACAGTGGCTCTAGCTATCAAATGGATGCCAAGATCAGGCCAGCGTAGCTACACGGGAGCAAGTTTCACCGAATCCAGAGACACATACAATTGAGTAAATGCAAGTTGGATTACACTGTGGGTGAAAAGGCTGTCCTCTGGGAATGCAAATCAATACAGAGTTGCAACATGGCCACAATTTAGAACTCTCTCTCTCCACACAGATCCCACCAGTTCCCCACTTTACCAGTCTTTGCTATCTTCTCCCCATACGTCATTCCTTGGAGCATAAGCAGGATCCCCAGGCTCACTGTCCATCCATCAGAAAGCATGGCCTGGAAAGCAATGAGAGGAAGGGGAAAGAAAGAAAGGAAGAAAAAAGAAAAGAAAGGACAAAGAGAGATTTTTTAAAAAATTGCTTTCTTCCTCACCCAAAGAGCAGGATGTTAAGAACACTGTCAGGGTTGAAGTCTGGGGGAGGGTCTAAAACCTAGTGGTTGAACATGTGTTTTGCATGTGAAAGTCCCAGGTCCATTCCCTGGCATGTCTTAGAATTTTTTTTAAGATAAAGTAGCAAAGTTGTGGGGAAAAAAAAAGTATCTCCTTGAAAACCCAGAGGAACTTGCCAATCAGAGTTGGCCATGCTGGACTAGACAGCCGAATGGTCTCATTCAAAGAGACTGGTGACATTCTGAGTTGACTGGCTTTATAAATATGATTTATAAATGAAGGAACCCAACTTCAGGTAGCTTCCTAAGAATTTACTTATCTCGTGTTGGGGTCCATGAATATACTTACAGCCTGAAAATGCAAAGACTCTTCTCTCTCTCCTTATAACTGTTGCACACATACAGTATTCTCTATTCTGCCACCCAGAAGAACATATTGGGAGAAGAGCATTAGGGTTATGAGGTCAATTGCTCTAGAATGGAATGGTTTTTAGTGCTGATGCCTCCTTTGTATGAATTCACTCAGAATCGTACCTAATTCATGTGTCATTCATTGCCATTTAAATTTAATACATTGGGAAATGTAATGAAATGATGCAAAACTGTATTTCAACATTAACTTTTTTTTCCCTGTACAACATAATGTGTCAAAATATGCATTTGAAACAAGAGAACGACTTGCCCCTTCAAGTCATTTTCTTAGGAAGTATCATGGAAAGTTATTCTTATGCCTGGGCTCAAAGAAAATCAAAGCTAAAAATGCTCCACCCTAACTGTTTCTACTCAAAGTATTTTTGGAAATAAGTGATGATTTTTTTCACAGATAAAAGTTAGCTAAATCATTGCTCAACATTCAACAAAACAGAAGCAAAACAAAATGAAAAACCAAGCCAGAAGTACATGCACACTTAAAATGACTCTCGCATAACTTAAATAAGTAAAACTAGGAAAAAATGAAATAAAATCAAAGCAACTAAAATATTCACTAGGTTAAATTTCTGAGAATCTCCTCTTCACTGCAAAAATTCTGCATTTTTCTGAAAATAACCACAGGGCACCCTTTTAAGAGTAACAGACTTATTTAAGCCCTTAGCAGATACAATTATCATCAATAGAAGAGAATATCTGTAGCTCAGGGTTGAACCATGGAGTCTTTGGGGTTCTCTGAGCTTGTTGTTTTCTTGCAGACATTTAATTTCCTGAGTAGATAACATCTAGTAGCACTGAAAATGTTACCTAGTCGGGTAATGAAACGTCTGCAAGCAAACAACCAAGCTTAGAGAGCACCAAGGACTCCACAATTATCATCTGTTGCATTGGCCTCTCTTCACAGTTTCCAATACTCAACCAGGAAAGTGTTCCCTTTCCCTGTTTTATGAGGAATGCTGTAAAACACTATCCAAATCTTTTACAGTATTTGAACTGCAGGGATGCACATGCTAAATAAAAGGTTTGTTACAAAATTATAATCTCATCAAACCCCAAATTTATTAGTAAGGGAATTGTATTCTGCATATGCTCAGGGACTACACTGTATTTAGAGTCCTTCTCCTGGGATCCACAAGTCCTATTAATAGAAAAAATTTCTGGAACTGCCTCCATAACTTCAAGCTGCTGGTTGGAAAGGAAAACTTCTCTCATTCCTCAAGAACTGCACTACAAAATTACTTCAACACACCCATTTCTTTCCTTGAAAAAGAATTAGCTCAGCCACATAGTGCAGTGGCAATTTTTAAAAAGTATTGTTTCATTGCTTTACTATGACTACAAAACAGAAGAGAAACGAAACATAGGAGTACAAGTTGTAAAAGAGGAAATTAAAAAAAAACAACAACCAAAGACATTTAAGTTCAATAGCCATAATTACAACTCTGTGAACATTGCTACAGTTCTATTTTTAAACAATAAATTGAACCTTGAGTACATGGGATCGTATCGGCCAGTCTTTCTTTTACACCAGTGTGGTCCAAACTTGGCCACTTTAAGATGAGTGGACTAACTCCCAGAATTCCCCAGCCAGCCATGCTGGCTGGGGAATTCTGGGAGTTGAAGTCCACTCATCTTAAAGTGGCCAAGTTTGGACAACACTGCTTTACACCGAAGGAGGAGCTGAGTCAAAGGGTTGCCAGATTGTTCAGCCTTTTGGCAACTGGTACACAAATCTCTCTCTAGAAACACATCATGATCTTTTTAGCAACAGTCCAGGCACAATATATAAAAAATTCTTCATTGAGGAATTTTAAATTTTTGGAATATAGTTTAACAGAATGTTCGCATGTTTAACTGGTAATTTCTTTCCAAGCACCTGATTCACCATAAGAATATTTAACCACTGCAAGGCAACCAAACCGTTCATATTAACATGGCTTCAAATTTATTACATCTCCAATTTAAGGAGGGTAACCAAACAGCCAGTGAGTGGTCCAATAAATCTGAAAAAAAAATCTTTTGATAAATAGATCTCATTTTAAAATCATAGGAAATATAGTTCACATTTTTAAAAGTCTGAAACCATAGATTGCTTAGAATTTATCTCAGATTTTATATGAATTATCTATATTTAATTTAGTTAAGTTTTAAAATTGTCAATGACACTGTATTGTTGATTTAACCTTTTAGAAAAAACTTTGTCTAGCATACTCAAAACCACAGGGTTCTGAGGTCAGCCATCCACCTGGCCCAGAGAACGTAATAAATATTCTACCTCAGTGTATGGCCATTCAGCTATTTTTGACAAAGTATATATATTTATTTCATAACTTTTCAAAAGTTTTGAAAATACCATTAACAATGAGCTAATCAAGAAGAAAGATTCCCTTTTCAGCCCATACATAGCAGAAAAAGTTCTGGAAATTTTAAAATGAGGATGATCTCAAATGGTCAGTTTCTCATGGGAACAGGAATCAGATTTGTATTTCTTACCCAGTCTCACCCAGATGATCTGAGATGGCTGCAGAAGGCAGGTATCTAGTCCCTTCTAGCCAAAATGGCCATGGAGGGCAGTGCCAGGCAAGGAGAAAGGAGGGGGCGTGCCTGCACCATCCTAAAGTGGCCAACATGGACCAAAGCGATGCCAGCCCCTGAATACTGAATGTCATCACCAGCATCATTAATGAAGCACTGTAGATTTTCTCCACGGTGCCAGGAGAAGAGGGAAACACCAAACTGAAACAGCAAAACACAGATGTAAACTGCTTCTGTAATTTATTGATTTATTGCATCATATTTATATAGCCACCCATCTCATAAAATGTGATGGGCTGGGGATAAGATGAATCTTATCTGGGGACATAGCCTTTAAGAACAGTTAGCATTTCAATATAGAAGAGCGTCAGAGGTAAGAACTGTTTGACCAACATGAATTTAACAGCTTTCCATTCCACAATGTAGTCTCCTCTATACCTCATAGGAGGATTTGCAAAGCGCAGTCCCAACAACCACTGCTTCTATTTCTCCCAACACTGTTGTGTTTCCAAAGGAGTGTAAGTAGTTGTCTGACTACTAATCAGAAGGCAGCACAATTCAATCATTCTTCTCCAACCTCTTTTGGAAGTAAAATATGATTGGGGCAATTAACAGCTCAACTCTTACGAAAGCTTCCTCAGAAGTTAATTCTCACTGTATTTCCTAAGCCTTATTCACAGGTAAATGTGCAAGTGTAAAAGAAATGATTTAACAGCCATTGCTCACTTTTCCTGCCCCACCCTACTCAACAGGAAACAATACAATAGGTTCAATCTGCAAAAATATCGTTTAAAGATAAAGAAATCCTCTAAATAAAGATGAAAGAAACAGGAAACTTGAAAGTGTCATAGAACCATACAACACCAGAGATTATGTGGATTCTCTTTACAGAGTGAGCAAACAAAGGATGTCAGTTGCAAAGAAAAAAGAATTAAATCAAAGCTCTGGATTCTAAAACTTGGTTTTTGACCAAGTGAATCAGCAAAGCACCGTTTAGACATTGGTATATACATATGGCAGCAAGGAGAAAGAGAACAAGCAGAAGTTCTTTTTTGTCCTAATCCTTTTTTTTTTTTTTTTACTTATGAAGGATGTGTCTTCACAATGGCATGACAGTGCAGTTGTCATTAGAAAAGAAAGACACATTTCATCACTGAAACTGCTGTCCTTCTGCCACTTAGCAAATAATAAGGGAGCAATGGGGATTTAATTCGTCCGAAGTAGTACAGAAATCTTTTAGCTTGCCCAGTTTTGGAAGTCAAGCACTGCGTGGTCCTGATGTCTCTTTAAACACATCCCTAAAAGCTCAGCTAAAACGGCTTTTAGGGTTAATTTCCGTTGCATTGGCTTTCTGATAAGTGTTTTGCTTGAGGTTAGTGGGTAGTAACAGACGCTACCACAGCACACACCTGCTGTGGCATCAAAAACAGAGGGTGTGAAGATATTTCCAGGCCAAGAAGACTCAATATGTGACAGTTTTTTCTTTCAAATCTGAAAATAGAACTGTTATTGTTGTTTGTATATACTGTGCATTAATTTCAGATACAAACTATAACCACATATATAGTTTTGTGTGGTTCTAGGTTAAAATACCAGTAAAGAACCACTTTCAAATGGTCCTTTAAGAATCACTAACTTTCTGTATTTATCTTGGCAAAATTACATTAAGTTATCTCACCTTTGATGAAAAGAGTTTTTTTTTTCTTTTCAAATAAACATAGACAAGATTATTTTGTTACAGAGATACTACAGACTCCAGTTTGGTAATAGTGTTTTGGGCAGAAAAGTAGGATAGGAATATTTAAAACAATGACTCTTTAACAGAGCCTACAGATTAAAGGACCTGAGAGAAAAACACACACATCATTAGAAAAAAGAGAGTCGATAAGGTTAATTTATTATTCAACGGCCAGTGAGGTATC